TTTATGGATAATATGTCCAAGGGGAAGCAGATACAAGGAAAACAAAATGGGTCCTAAGACCGACCCCTGAGGCACACCATATTTAACTGGACAGAATGAGGAGACATAGTTGTTTACAGACACGCAAAACTTCCTATTTGACAGGTAGGATGAAAACCATTCTAGGGCAGTACCAGAGATCCCCACCCAGTGCCTCAGTCTGTCTAACATGATGTTGTGATCAATGGTGTCAAAAGCAGCGCTAAGGTCCAGGAGTACCAGGACTGAGCACATGCCTTCATCAGCAGACATTAAAAGGTCATTGGCGACTTTAAGCAGGGCAGTCTCAGTGCTGTGGTACTTCCTAAAACCAGACTGAAACTTTTCAAATATAATAATAGTAATACTCATGCATTGTACAAACTACACTAAAGATACATTTAGGCTTTATCTTACGTGACCTGCATGTTAAGAGTATAGATTTATGAGGGAGCACCAAGAGCTAGACTATGAAGAGACAATAGAAAATAACTATGGTATAGTTTTTCGTTTTAGAAAAAACAGATGGCCTCATTTAGTAACACTTCTCTATGCTTGGAACTTTGTGATAAGCGAAAGCGGTTGACCTTCAATTTATAATGTGAAATATGCATGCAAAATTGGAGACTTGGCTGCAGATGTGTTTGATTTTGAACACTGAGAATATTTTCCATGCATTTTGGAGGTTCTGATTGATAAATGATTCATAGTTTGCCATGTGAAAATGGGTGACATCAGAATCTGGAAACATGATTTTTGTGCTTCTGTACATGCCTTTCCTGGTGCAGTTGTGCCAATTTTAATCCGTTTTTGGATAAGGCCACCACAGCAGAGATGTCCTGAAGCTGGTGTCATAAAAACCAGTTCTGCATGAAGCCCTGCCCACCAAATCAAGACAAATTAAGTGAAAACCAACTACAGAAATTTCAAAGGGCAATTTACTGAAATTGGAGGAATTATTTACAATGCCTGTGTTCCCCACAGACTAAAAACAGCTCAAATTTACTTTTAACGTCAAACAGAAACAAAAGCTGAGCTTTTGTGTGGTCACATTGAGTAACTTTATTGAGATAGAAAATTAAGAGAACTGCTAAAATGAAATGGGTGGTAATTCAACACAGGCAAAGCCATGACAAAAGAAAGAACAGATGTGTAAGCACCAGAGGTTCCTACTTTGTACTTTCATCTACTTGTCTATATTACATTAGTTTCTACACAGAGCAAACAATGAATTTGTCTGTTAAAAAGGTACCACATATTTAAGTACTGTATGTTTTTATTCTGTATGGACAGAACAGATTTTTAAACCTATCTGACTGTAAGACAATCAGTAGTCAATATTAGTAAAACGCTCACTACTGTGGGTGGCACGAGAAGGCCCAATACAGCACCATCATAGCCATAGCCTGGCTGACACAGGCATGGCTTACTTAAATGAATAGTTTGACATTTTGGTAATTGTAGACTTTCTTGCTGACAGTTAAAAGAAACAATCAGTAACAGCGTCATAACTGTTCTACCAGTACCTTTACACCTTAAGTATAAAAACAACAATTTGTATGTGTGAGACTACTTCTGGTGGATTTTGGCAGAGGCAGGCAAGTTGGTTCCCTGTTTCAAGTCTTTATACTAAGCTGGGTTAACCTGCTGCTGGCTTGTATTTAACAGAAAGACATGACAGTGGTATCGATCTTTTCATTGAACTGTAGGCTTAAAGTTGAATAAGCATATTTCCCAAAATGTTACACTACTGCATTAAACCTTTGCGTGGTTAAATCTTGTCAGCCCATTTTTTCAAAGATTGTATATTTCAGTATAAGGTGAAACCTGAACATTGACATTAAACTTGCACTTTATGACGAGGAGTAATGAGTTAGGGGTCTCTGAATCCTCCGTTGCAGAAGGATGCACAGTCAGATGTGAGCTCATCGCCTCTGACAGCAAAAGGGTGGAAAATGCGTCACCACGGGCCAAACATGAAAGGTAGCCTGTCCATAGGTCTTAACATCCAAAAGGGGTTAGTAGGTGTTCGAAAAACACGGGCCCCACCAATGACCTATTCTCTCAGTTATTACTGGCACTCTTCCCTCAACTGTTGTTGTAATAAACTAACATTAGGTAAGAATACAGTGTGTAGAGGCCCCGCATGCGTAAGAGCATTTACACAAGGAGACACCCCAGAGGTGTCAGAAAAACGAGCATGTCAACATTAACTTTTATTAGCTGATGGAAAAATGAGACTAATGGTCTTACTGAAGCTTGACAGAATGGAGAACTTTGCTGAACTTCGAAAGGTGACTGCGGCACAGCATGAGGCCGGTTTCCTTTAGTTTTCAACTAAAACAAATAGTCAACAGAGGGACGCATTACCTAATGAGTGTTAAAACACAGCTATGTCCTTTTGAGAGTAATGTGTTAAGATTACTCTCAACTATTTATACTATACTATTTTATTTATATAGCGCCAAATCACAACAAAGGTTATCTCAGAGGGCTTTTCATAAAAGAGCAGGTCTAGACCGTACTCTGATGTTATTTACAGAAGCCTAACAATTCCCACCAAGAGCAACCACTATGCGACAGAGATGAGGAAAAACTTCCTTTTAAGAGGCAGAAACCTTGTGCAGAACCATTTAGTTTAACATTAGAAAATTACAGGTCATCCAGGTTTTAACATCCTGAAGGCACATTTGAAGTTTAGTTAAATGATGAGTTTCATCTGGCTTGATAGATATAATTGAGTATCATCTGCATAGCAATAAAACTTTAAGGAGTGTTTCCTGATAATATTGCCTAAAGGAAGCATATATAAAGTGATGAGGATTGGTCCGAGCAGATCCTTGTGGAACTCCATGACTAACGTTGGCGTACATGGAGGACTCATCGTTAACAGGTACAAACTGAAATCGATCTGATAAATAGGACTTAAACCAGCTTAGAGAGGTTCCTTTAATGCCAATGAAATGTTCCAGTCTCTGTAATAGGATCTGATGGTCAATGGTATCAAATGCAGCACTAAGATCCTTTGTCTGATGCAATTAGGAGGTCATTAGTAATTTTCACCAGTGCTGTCTCTGTGCTATGATGAACTCAAATAAACTATTGCTATGTAGAAAGTCAAACAGCTGTTTGGCAATTTCTTTCTCAAGGATCTTAAAGAGGAATGGAAGGCTAGATACAGGTCTATAGTTTGCTAAAACATCTGGATAAAGGTTGGGCTTTAGAGGTTTAATTACAGCTACTTTTAAGTACTGTGGTACATAGCCTGTTGATAAAGATAGATTGATCATATCTAGTAGAGAAATGCTTACTAAGGGTAAAACTTCTTTAAGCAGCCTAGAAGAGGCAGGTTAATGGTTTAGATGAAGAAATTATTGAAGTTAGTTGGTAAAGACTGAGGGAAGCAAAGCAGTCTAAACATATATCTGGTTTTACAGCTGTTTGTAAGGTTCCTGAGTTTAGAAATATGTCGGCGCCAGTTGAGGGCAGGTCTCGATGAATTTTGATTCTAAAAGTTAGAATTTTATAATTAAAGAAGCTCATGAAGTCGTAATAACTGAGAGCTATGGGAATACATGGCTCAACAGAACTGTGACTGTCAGCCTGGCTACAGTGCTGAAAAGAAACCTGGAGTTGTTTCAATTTTGCTCTATTAATGATGAGTAGTCATCATTTGTATCGTGTTTTTCAAGACAAGTTAAAAAAAGTAATAAAAATACAAAAAGTTAAACACATTAAACCAATATTAAAGGCCATTTGTTCACAAACAAGCTTCATCAGCAGAGTTTGTCCAGTTGGCGTGAAAACAGAAGATCCTTTTTTCTGAACACAAGGATTTATCATCCATGCTGGCTTAAACACTGTGTTTCACGGTGCACTGCACTGTCCATGATCTTTGTAGTCCATTTATTAGGTGTTCTGGAGCTTACAATCATTCATGATCACAGGGTTCATAAAATTCACTTTTAAAGCTCCATCTCCATCTGTTCATAATGATCAAATCATTCAGGAGTCTGATTGAGGAGTCCAGTTAGAGCAAATTTCCTGAAGCGAAGGTCCAGAACATCATAACGACTAACTTCCATTATCATTCAGAGCTATAAAATATAGTTGTATCAACATATGTTTTGAGTCAGCAACTGTCAAATGAAATAATCATGTACATTATATATATATATATATATATATATATATATATATATATACATCAATAGTCAGTTTTCACGATAATACCCACCTTTAATTAAACTAAAATAAAGTGCTTATTTCAGAAAAAAATGAAATAAAAAGTGTAGCTTGAAGTGATGAAGAGCAGTCTCAACCAATTTTATAATAAACACTCAACACATCTTAACAAATGAACTATTATAATACCTCCTCTTCTCTTTCATTCCCTCTTACAGAGCTACCACTTTCCTACATTCACTTGTTCAGTGAGAAACATGGGCTCTAGCTTGTCCTGCCAGCTAGGATTGGAGATCCATGAGATAATCTTGTTTTGAACTGCCCGTGGGAAGAATGTACATGTAAGAATCTGTTCATTCTTGGTTAAAAGCCATGTGAAATTTCTTCTCTTTTGTCTCCTCAATTCGTGTTTTTCCAGAACATCTCCGGTGTATCTCACTCACGGACTTCACTCGCAATGCTTACCAAAATTCACAGATTTGATTGGCTGAGCAGCATCACGAGACGTTTGGAGCACATGCAATAGGTCTGCGAGTTTCCTGTGCACTAAACCCGGACAGTAAATGCTAGAAAAGCTGTGTGGGTTAAAATAAAAAGGCTCCGTCACAGGGTAGTAATTCTCAACAATAAATTGGCTGTAGGTCCGGGTCCGGAGAGGACAGTGGCTGGGTCCGGATCCGGACCGTGGTTTGCCTATAAGTGACCTCTGCTTTAGAGCATCATCATAAAGATAGTCAAACACAGTTTCCAAGGTTAAGAATGATCTTTGAAAGTCAACTGATAAATACATGAGATTACCAAAAAATATTTTTATTGAATTTGGTCTGATACTACAGTCAGCATCAACTGCAGCAGTATAACAAATACCAAAAGATTTCCAAAAACAGTCTTTATTTATGTTTGCCGACAGATCAACTAAACCTAAAAAATAAACATTAACATTGAAATGATTCTATGTGTAAACATACAAACATTGTTCTTGTTTCTTAGCACAGCTTGTTTAAAACAATTGCATTGGTCTACTGTACACTGACACAAGATTGATGACTTCCTGGCAGATTTGTCTGCCTCCACAGGCATTTCATACTGAACATCTGGGCATTATCATTCAATTCCACAGCTGCCAGCAGCATTAGCTGACTCATTTTCATCATGACAGTGATGGGTATGAACAGGCCCCGACTCTTTCACAGCATCCTCCTTAGTCATGCTGACCTCAGCACTCTCTCTGGCAGCTGAACTGTCATCAGTGATGTCCACGTTTATACACTGATCCCTGCTGTGGTCACTGTGTTTATTAATAACATCATCAACATTAACTGTGTGATGGTTCATCTTTATCACCACCATGTCATTAGCAGGGCTTTTGGCACCATCACAGCTCTTTCCACATGAGGTATTTTCTTCAGAATTTGCTTCATCTTTCTCTTCATCACTACTGTCTATGATCTCTCCCTCCTCTGGCTCTTCCTGCCCTGCTTCTCTCTTGGCCCTTTTCTCTTGTGGGGGTTTAGTTTCAGGGCTGGTCTCTGGGGTTCCTGTCCAGATGTTGGTTCCCCCCGGGGTGCAAGTCCCTTGTAGGAACGGTGAAACTTGGGTGAAGTCCCGCTTCTCTTGGTCCACCTTTTTGGTCTTTGTTGCAAAACTGCTGCAGGCTGATGACTGTTCAGCTGAAACAACACGAATCAGCTGAAAACACATTTGTCTATAAAAAAGCATGATTAAACATGGCTCATGCATCAGTAAATTCTTACATCCAAACTTGAAGAACAAGAACAAGTGATCAGTATGGTCAGTTGCACAAACATGGTTAGAGCACAGCTGAGGTCATGCTTAACAGAAATCGTGAGAAAGAGAAGGACGGTACAGTTTGGGACTGATGATGCTACGGTTTGGCTCCACGCTGGGTTCCCGGATGAGGCAGCTTGCCAAGCAATTAGTTATGCAATAAAGAAGGGTGGACGTGTGAAAGAAAGGCTGTAGAATTAATGACTATAAAAACGATAATTGTGAATTTTTAAGCAATTACTGCCCAACATGATCTCCCCACAGTCCATTTGTGGAAAATTCACTTTAAACCTCAGACACTTTTGCCAACACATTTTCTATAAAATGGTTATTCAGCAGAGCCTATAATATAAAAGATTAATGTAATTCAGTTCTTTGTGCTATAACATGAGACACAATTAAGCTATGCCTGCCTCCCATTATCCATTTATCTTTGGTACAGAACATTAGAAGTAAATTAATATACACATCTTAAGAGTTTAGGTTATGGGTAAAGGGCATTCTCCACTGACCATAGATAAAAGTACAGCCCTGATTCAGTCCAATGTTACAAACATTACTGTTGAAAAGAAACATTTTCAGCAACAGGACAAATTAGAAACCCTTCTTGTCAAGTGTCAATCCTTTCAATAGAGACACGTGACTAAATCTCTCACTATATAATATTGGGTTTAGATGTTTTGGCTAAAGGGCCAAGTTTTTTGTTTAAAATTTGTTTATGACTTATTACTTAAACCCTTTCTCTCTCAGAGCACCTATAAAAGGGTAACTATATTTGGAATAGTAACATTAAAACAGTTATTTAACAATCTGACCCACATAACAGCAAGATAAAAATGTCATCAAAGAGATTCTGGCTCAGGGTCAATGAGGCTACAAAAGGATTTTTGAGAAAATTGAAGAGAGATTTGCAATCTCTAATCAGAATACTGACCGGCTGCATGCTGCCTGAGTTTCAACATGACTTTACCCTCACTGGATAAGCCACTGCCACAGTGTCCGATTGGTCTTTATCACTTCCTGTCCAGCTTCCCAGGCCATGGCGTGTGTATTTATCAGGATGTGTCTATGGCTATTATAGTGAAACAGTGTGGCACCAAGACCTTATCATTGAAAACACATACATACTCAAACTAAAATGACCTCATTCGTCACTCAGCCAGTCCAGATCGGACAGTATAATGATATAGAGTTAGCGTGGTCTTTTGTGACCAAGCTAACCCTACTCAGATGTAGAGTTTGATCTCACTGAGGCAAAAAAAAAAAACTTTTCGTGAGTCCTACTTTGTCATGGCTTTTCTTGGCCTTAAATATCCGGTACTAGAAGACAGTGACAAACAGGTGAGGAAAAACCACAGGCTGATGTCCTGTTTTCACATCTTCCGTCAGTTCACAACTCACTGAGGTCACTGTTCAACAGTAAGCCATGTTTGATCCTCTTTTTGGACATGGTCGCTGTTGAGGTTAAGTTGGTGTGTGTGATGCTGTGCAGAACACCCTCATTTCCGTTGGGGTAGCATGTTGCTATAGTGAAAAATAAAGGAACAGGGAGCCTTGAAGTCTCAGCTGGAGAAACCAGGACATGATACAATGCTGCAAAGTGGCGAGGGGTTGGCGTTTTGGGGCTACATAAAGTTTTGACTCATGTCATATATACACCCGTTTATTTAGTTAGAGAAAACATAGATGAAAAGGAAGCATTAAGGTGAATGCAGTGATGAAGAAATTATTTTGTTTTACAAATAAGCCATCAGTAGGTTAGTGTTGGTGCAGAAATTAGCTTATGAGCAGGAGTTAGAAAATTCATGACAAGCTAGATAAGGGTGGGTTTTTTTTGTTATTTTCTTACCCAGTCCTTTCAGTGGATAGTCCTTCCAATGATCTCTGAGTACAACATGCAGCACAGGATATTCAATCAGTGTTTTGTACCTCAGGTTGTCCCTTAGGGTTTTGTAAATGTCCAACTCATGGTACCTATTCCAGACAAAATTGAGACAAAAGAGGTGATTACAAGACAACTCAGTTACAGCATGCTGGGTAAATTACAGGATATTAGGCTCATTGAAGGTAATTTCAAGTTTTTAGGTGCTAGGATACAACAAAGACAGAGCAAAAATAGCCAACGCTGTTGAAAGTCTATAACTGGCAGCTGTAGCTCTTTATTTACAGCAGCCTGTGGCACATTGGTGGCTGAGAATCTTTTGAAGATTGATAGAGATTTGAGTCATGGCTTGGCACATTGAAGATTCTGCTTGGTGTTTGTCTCAAGAGATGGAAACTGACTTAACCAAGAATCAACATCTCTCACAAGCACATGCAAGGGCTCTCTTTCCCCTCCTTTAGCTCTTCAGTATGAGATGACATCAGTCTAGTCTTGCATCTAAGTAGTCCTGTCAAGCATTAGGGATGGTCATAAATCACCAGACTAAATAGTTAACTGGATTCTTGGGAGACATGGCTTGCCTCTACACTAAAGTAATTCAGAACCATCCCGCTTAGGTTGTCATCACCAAAATACAAAACATCATATATTTGGATGTACACAGTAACTGGCACCATCCTCACTAACTGTCAAAACCGCACCAGACTGAAGATTATTACCATTGTTTATTTTGCTAAAAGCCCAAGCAGACTGAGAACCGCCCAGGTAGTCACCCACTCCCAAAACCAATCAAAGCACTTTGTTAATGTGACATTTACAGGTCTTTACTGGCATGCCAGCTTCCAAGAAGCCCTCCCTCCTGGAAGTGATTCTCTTAGGTGGGCTAAAGTATATAAATAAACAGCAAAATGTGTTGGAACTTCCTGTGGGACTAGATAAAGGACATATGTGAGACTGTGGGTTTCAAAACACACAGGAAATTTCTTGCCGCAGTACAAAAAATGGTTGCAGGGTACTTTTGGGATATCTACACAACACAAGAGTAGAAATAGCATATCTAAAGATGGACTCAATATTTTGTACATGATTCCTGGATAGAAAAAAGGCTATTATTGACAGGATAAAATGTTAAGCAGTGAAAGGAGTTTGTAAAGCTGGTGCAAAGTAATTAAAAGAAAATAATGCAGCAAGTAAAAGCAGGATATCTAAAAGGATTGAATACATTTGCTATACGCAGACTAGACAAGGATTGTTTCCATGTTTCCATTCCATTTGTTGTTATTTTTTATGTCTAACTGAATGTTCACGGATGTTTTTTATTTTTGTGAATATAAAAGCTAAAATAAAACACAAGTGTTTGTAAACAACAGCAAAAGAGGGGTAGATGGCAAAGCAGATTGCAGCTCCCTGTGGTGTCGAAGTGATTGTTAAAGAGCTGGCCATTTCTAGAAACACGTCTGGATGACGCAGCCAAGAACACGCACACATCTGGTCTCTATATAGTGTTCTAGTGAATGAAGAGCAGAGGACAAGAGTGATGTTCCCTTCAGGGAGGTTCCTATTGTTTCCCCCTCCACTGCTGAGACCCATCAGCAAGGATATGGCAGTGGTAAGGTGTAAGGAGGAGAAGAGACACTGCAAATATCTTGATCATGAATAGACAGTACTGTGTTATTAATAATGTTGAAAACTCAGAATAAGCTAGTGCAAAAATAAATAGGATATGTACATGGTCGTCTACTAGTTGGTACTGGCATTGTTTTGTGAAACTCACTGTATCATATTGTGAGTAAAATCTTCTTGATGATGAGTATGAATATCATTCATTCCAATGGCGGGTGAGTGACAAGCAGTTATGGACTAGTGCCTTCTTGAAGATTACAAACGCTGGATTTCTCCCAACTCTGTTAAAATCGGACAATTACTACAACCAGAGGAGGACAACAGGAGCCCAGTCGTAAACAAAATATTGTAGCATTATTCAGACAGACAAGAAAACAAGAGAACCATGCTATGCAAACCAAGTTTCACATTTTGACAATGATACCCATTCTAGTATTCAGGTTTACTTCATTTTATTTTGGCGTTTTAGTCCAATTCCTCAATGCCAAGGGCCTGCTGCACTGTCTCAGAGGCAGGGACTGTGTTAACTAAAATTCTCTGCCAAAATATTATATTTTATAGATTTGACCGTTACAAGGTTATAAAAAGACAATGGTGGTGGATGCATGATAGTTGCTTCTATGCTGGTGCAATCAGATATTTTGGGGTTGGGCATATAACCATCCTCTTTAGCTACCTCTGATTTAGACACACTGTGTGATACATGTTAAATCATTACATTTAGCAAATTAAGTGCTTATCAGGTTGGATGTGAAACCACATGCCCCTAACACCTTTCCGATGACAGAATTGGATTTCTTTGCAACTGTTACAAAACTTACAAGCATGCTCACCTCACTCAACAAATGGCCAGGTTTCAATTCAACTATTTTTGTTACATTTTATGTGTACAAATGAATGTAGCACCATGCCTTTGAGGAGAGACATTCTGAAAGCATTCGCTATTATTCCCACATTTGACAGATTAGTGTATCTGGTCCTCACTTCAACAGCATGCTCTTCACTTTGCTTTTGAGAGTAGGAATTTAGAACATATAGACTCTTACATTTAGATAAGTTTCAAGCAAATCCCTGCCTAAAATCTCATCGTATTACTGAGGCTGACGGGAACTTCAATAAATAAGGATGACCACAAATTTATACAGATATAAATACCACAATCCAACTGCAGTGTTTCCCATTGTTTAACGAGACCATGGCGGCCCGCCATAGTTTCAAAATGAACCAAAAATATTTTTACACGTCTCATAACAACATTTCAGACCTCTAACATTGTGTTTTGTGTGCGCTGCTCTGCGCTGCTGTAAGCTCGCACGCTCACACACTTTGGCATCCGACTCGAGACAACCACTTTTCTTTTGAGGTGACTACGGTGATGTTAACGGTATGTTTCTGTCACTCGTTTTTAAGCTAGCCACGCCTAAATTTGGAGTGCACACATATTAAAGCCTTCATGGTAACTGAAACGGATCGGAGCGAGCTGACAGGCAGGTTAGAAAATTTATCCTGTCAGTTTCTCTCTTTACAAAGACAAGTGTTGCAGTATGAGAGTCCTACCTGAAGAGAGGCTATGAAATCTTCATGTTACACGATACAAGAACCACATACAACATTTATGATATTGAGTCGGATTTTTTATATACGGTCTATGGGTCGGACTTGATGAATTTAGCTCAAGGATACACATGTGACAGCATCCGGTTTTCAAAATACAGTGTCTATATAGTATAGAAATAAGATTCTGTGAATATAATCCAATTAAGTATAAAACAACAACAATAAAATAGGGAAATTACTTATTTTCTATTCTTTAATTTGGGTTGCTGGAAAAACATTAAATAAATTTGTTGACCTTTGTTGCCGTTTCATCACCATTTATAGCTACTATAAAATGGTTTTATGATGAAATAGTTTACTAGAGCACAACATTGTTTACAAGAGCGCAAAGTAATAGATAACCTCTTAATTTTGCACCAAATGAATGCATTTAAGCTTAAATGTACAAACTCTACCGGGAGGGGCATTCCCCCAGATCCCCCGAGGTCCACCCACCATAGTCTCTTAAAATCCTGTGGGAAACACTGCAACTGTGACGCTCAACAATTACCCAATATAATCTGGTGCTATTAATTCCTTGCTATTCTAGTAACAATACCAAAAACCAGTCCAGCACTGCAGGAGAACTGAGGAAGCATCTGCTAAACAGAAACATACTTGAACAGATCTTCAGGGCAAGCTGAGGGAGAGCAGCTCAACATGCTCAGGACGGATAAGGAGAGGGCTTGCCACAAATATGTGAGAGAAAGCACTGCTTGGACAAGACAGAAACATCACTGTCTGATGGGTCACACACACACACACACACACACACACACACACACACACACACACACACACACACACACACACACACACACACACACACACACACACACACACACACACACACACACACACACACACACACACACACACACACACACACACACACGTCAACGGGCGTAGATGTTCTGTGGGATTCGGCTTCTGAGAGGAAAAGGAGAGGTAAGGGAAAGGCGGAAAGGGCATCCTCTGGATCTCAGAAGTGGAATGAATAAAAAATAAACATTAAAAAATAACAAAAACAAACATCCACAAAGGTGTGAATGGCTCTCTTGATGCACAGTCTGCCTCCTTTCCCGTAAGAGAATGTTGACTGGTTACACAGCTATGTTTAGTTTAGCACAAGAACTCCTTTATTGGAGTGGGTTGATATTCCAGTAGACATTCAACAACAAAAACATGCAGTCATACCCTTTTGTGTTGGACTTGGCCAACAGCCTTTAAGCAGCCATGACCACTACTGCCCATGACTTCATAACACTAATAACACCGTTCAAAACGTGGAAGCCCCTTTGTGGTTGCAATGCTTTGACCTTGTTTGTCATCCCTAAACAAGGCGATCTGGCTTCAGTCTGTAGGGGGCTTCTTATTAGAGCTCTAGTTTGTGGCCATGGCCCTGTTATGTAACTGCACCTAGTTAATGTAAAATGATTCCCCCTTGGACAAGCCTTCTAATTTTGCTCAACTTCTATTTATCCATCCTCAATGTTAACAAAAACACTTCCTAAGAACTTAACAATGGAATTTACTCATCAAGTAAAAACAAGAAACGATTACTGATAAAGAACGTGGAATAGGGAGAGGGAGGGCCATTTATTCCATTGAATCACAGACTTGACACCGTCCAAACATTCTTTCTCCATAGTCTGATTTACAACTGTCACGGTATCAGGCTCATAGCTGTTAAAAGTCATATATAAAACATTGTGAGTATGGAAATGATGTGAATAAAATGCCACAGGCTTTACAGTCACCAGATCTCAACCTATTTTGACACCTATAGAAGATTTCAGACCAACATCTAAGACAATGCTCTCTACTACCACCTCCATAAAACTTATAACCTTTCATTTTCAAATCTATTTTGTCCGATTTCTGTGATTGACTCTGATGCTATATTTCCTTGTCCTGTCTGGCTATATTTGTTTTTCTATCTGCTGTCTACCCCTTAGGGGTATTAAGCGGCCTCCTATTCCAAACGTCAAAGGAAAGGCTTGGGCCGACGTATGTATCTCCGGGCCATCCTGGCTGTGTGCACCCACCAGGTAGAGAAAAGAGAGAGCGGAGAATAGAAGTTGGTCAATGTTTAGACAACCCAAGGCTCCAACCTTGCTCACTCCACCAACTCTGACTTTCATTTCCGTGCCAGGAGGGCCCAGAGACACATGCGTCGGCCAGTACTTTGCCTTTGACCTCCTATCCCAAACGGTGTTCATCCCTCCAATAGTTCCACAGACCTGGTAAGTAGCACTGAAACTGTCTGGAGGCTCGTGGTGGCCTGACTCCACACTAAGACACTTCATATTAGGTTATTAACCTGTGATTATGCAGCACTATAAACTACCTTGTAGTGACATTCGTTATGAAGGTGACACTGCAAAAGGTGTGTGGGATCAGAGATAATGACACATTAAGTGTTTAAAATTTCATTAAATTCATGTAAGGGTAAAAGGTGACAGCCTGACAGTTTGTGCTAAATCGTGGCTTGCATGTCACAGATCTAGACTCGTCTTTCGGTAATTCTTCTCTTTATGCTGCCACAAAATAAAATGTATCTGTCTTGAAAGTGTGTGCAGCCCATCCCACTGGGCAAAGCAAAAGGACCATGTGTGACAGATGGGATGGGAGGTTTCATGACATTTCATGCTGGCCAGGGGGGTAATGGTTATGAGCACCGAGGAACATCATTCACTTCATGACTAAGTGGAAATGGAGGGCAGCCAAAGAATTCGAAAGTAGGCGAGGCGAATGGGTGCTATCCACACAATCCAATGACCCTCATTAAAAATCAAAAAAAGCAAGACAGACAGATAGGGCAGGAAGCAAGACCACACAGGACAGAGACTATGGAAACAGATTGAGTGAGAGAAAGTGAAAGACAGCAGATGGAATATGTGGATAAAAGTTGCAAAGAAGTTTCTTGATCAATGGCATTTCTCAATGTAGGAATCTAAGAAGAAAAACTCTCTATGGCCTTCCTGCCAAATGGCTGTGTAACTTTGCAGGAATTTACAAGTCAGTGATGTCATGTTTCTAAACAAATTATGTAGATTTAATACACACTGAATAAATCAGTCATGACTGGCAAGTCCAATCAAACGGTCAAAATGGTTACACAGACAAGATGCCTGAGCAATACTGGGATTCTGACACATTTTTGAAAAAGAGAGAAATGTGTCTTCCAGCTTTTAAACAATTTTATTTAAAAAGCCCGATATCACAAATTTGCCTCATGCAACAGATGTAATGTGTCATATACACCAAAATAGCCAAATTAAAATACAGACAATTAGGATGACAAAATCTACCAGAGAAAAGTAACACGTATGGGAACGTAACAAATTATTCTGATAATGCGGAATAAGAGAGGTAGAAGTAGAAAGTAAATCTCACCTGACAGAGTTAGCCTTTCGCCCCTCTGCTTTCATGAAGATTTTCATATGATCAAAGGGGGTGTGCACATACATCTTCAACCTGAAACAGAAATTCACATCAACATAGAAGGTTAGAGACTAAACTCCAACCTATCCCTTAAAAAAAAAGACAATAAAGAAAAAACATGAGAACATGGACTGTGAAGAATTTCCTACGATGGTTACCATAAAGGTCAAAACACAAAGAGCTTATTGAGTATAGCACAAGGGAGAAATGTATACTTGTCTCATATGCTGACTGATATTTATAGGCTTAGACTGGGGTTTCTTGTGTAAGGGACAATGCTCCATGCTACTGACAGCCACAGCACCTTAGCCTGCTGTAAAGAGCCAGTAATGGGCCATGGAGAGTTAAACCCCACTCACTTGAATCTACACTAAGCGGAGGTTGTGTCTAAATGGTTGGCACTGAACCAAGTGAGGTGTCTATTTTAAAGAGTTGCACCGGTCTACAATATGCTCTCGCTGATGGTTTTACAGCAGACTGCTTAATGCTGACTGTTATCAGTACAATGGCTGGGTCATAGGATTCAGATCGCTGTTCTGTTACAGGTTCAGATTAGAAATACTGAGTGTTCTGCAATCAAAGAGCGTGCCTTGTTTAAAGACTGTAGTTCATGTTGGGAGACACATGAGCCTGGGAAATTAAAAAGAAAGTGAAGTAAGAGCAAAATTACAGAGATAAATGTAGGAAAGTAAGATTGTGGGAATTATACAACATGAAGAGACCAACCCAACCGAATCCTGTGTGACTGAAATTGGATTGAGTTGGTTGATGTTAAAGATCAGGATAGAAATACAATCCACCTTTTCATCTACTCTATGGGAAATGTTCACATTCAAGTCAAGCACAATTGTGACGACGTGTGGTCGCACAGATGAGCAGAGCGTTAAATTCATTCATACAGGTCCACATTCTACATTTCATTTTAATTAGAAAAAGAAAATATCTATGAAATGTGTCGTGGAAAGATTTCAAAATAAAAAAAAATACTTAGCTAACATGAATCTTTTAAGAGCTATACTTGCGTCTTCACCCATTCCTTCTCCCTTATAAATGCAAACTTGTACTTTATGTGTAAGTGAGGCATAATCCCTAAACACACTGCTGCCAAACTCAATTACAGGAGCTCTGGTCTGGCATGCAGGCTACAGTGGACCTGATACAGGTCATCAAAACCAAGCAGTCATAGCTACAAATGGCCTATATTTTTAACAAAAAAGTAAAAAAGTAAAATCTGGAATACAATAGGCCATTGTACTTTTTCTCATTTTTTTTTACTCATTCAGATATGCAGCAGTGATGCTCAGGCTGCATCTTGCCAACACAGCTTTAGACAATACAAAATGCTCATATGCTTTGTAATATTGTCAGGATAATATGATGCAGTTACAAATGAATGTAACTGCTTCACACTGGTGTTAGTATGAGTGGTAGTGTTTGATATTATACTATGCTGCTAAAAGGCACATATCACAGAACCTGCATTTCAACAAAAAATTTTGAGAGCAATTCATTTTGCTATGCCTTCTTCCCCAATCTCATCCCTAGTTGTTGAACATGAGACTCCAGTAACTAAATCCAACTTCACAGTTGTTGCCAATAGCAAAACAGATGATTTTCAAGAGAAGATAATGGGATGAACAGCAATCTTATTGCCAATAATATGGACGCAGCTTTCACTCCAGCTGTACAAGAAATAAACCTGTCGCAAAGGTCCAAGCAGACCTCTAAGTAGCACCATTCCCAAATACTTTAATGTGAATTGTCTGCTTACTCTGTCATAAAACATGGACACATAGCAGCTCTCTGCTGATCATAACTCCGGTAATTCTACAGCTTGAACTGGGTGTGTTACATGTATTTGACAAGAACATGACAGTCTTGTAATGACACAATTTCATAAAGTTTTTAACAATATTAATAAAATGTTTACACGCCTAAAAAGCATGTAGGTGTATTAACGTTTCCACTTATAGTTAAGAAGTTAACTGGGGCGGTTAGCTCAGTTTACAGATTTTATATTTTGGGGGGAAAAAAGACACTTGTTATAGGAGTTTGACTTTGGGTATCAGAATCACGGTAGAAAATGTGTGATTGGTCTGTATAAACAATCAGAACAAAAAAATCAAATGGAACTGAAGTGTTAATGGGACAAAGCTCACTTTTGACGTGTCACAGGATCAGACTCTGTAGGATGGATATAACGGGTCAAGATCTGCTCCAGGGTTTGCTTGTCAGACACCCTAGAACAAGAAGGATATTTTGTAGGAAAAAACAAATGTGAGAAAAAATCTGTTAATGTTCACACCCATATCAAGTCATGAATGAATGATTTTATTTGGTAAATTTACAATGAAATAACCAAAAAAGGAGTAGGTTGAAGCCAAGGCTTATATTTGCCTACCCTACGTCAAACCATGTTCATAACGGATAATGTCTCTGTGAAGCTTTTACAAGCCTTCACAAACACATATAGATTTGAGTGGTCACTACTGCCAAGTTGCAGCCTGTGCACCAACATGGTCTGTCTAACAAAATGTTCCCTACAGTAACAAGCACTTCTTTTCAGTATTATAACAGTACTGATCATTTGCTTTCAGTTAATAAAAAAAAAAAACTTGTGGTTCAGAAGGGGGGGGGAATATTGTTATGTAACTCACCTCCTCTGACTGAACTCCGTGCTGCTCTGAGGAAAGATGAGCTTCAGGTGCCATAGGAACAGTGCTTCTCTAAATGAGACACAGAGAAACTCATTTTTGGTTTCAGCTTATCAAAAACAGTAGTGCTTGATGCCTGTTTTTCTCCACAGATATGAGGTCACTAGTACTCTCACAGTATTCCCTTCATAGTCAAACACAAATGCCCTTGTTTAAATTCAGAGCATAAAATGGATTCAATCTTAATCTGTCCAAGACAAAACGCCTGGCTGCTTCCAAAATCTTGTCCATCTGTGTGACTGTGTGAGTGCATGTGTGTAAATGAATAAACCAGAGTCACCATGGAGACCATGACATATACACGCAATACTAGGACACCAGCTGGTGGATATCAAATAATGATCACTTCTTCTGGGGTAAGACTTTGGGCAGCAACTATTAAACGTGGTTGAGTTTTTCAGGGTTGCTGGGCGTGCTCTACAACCAAACATTTATCCCCTAAACAGCTGCTGTGTTCAGACCAAGTAATGTCATCATGATGCAGAAATAGCCAACAAAATGTAATATATCAAACAGTTTGGGAGATATGAATAACGAGATGAAATTCCGCCTTTATTCTGTTACAGTAATCAATTAATTAATAGTAATGTGTGGTCTCGCTGGTAATTTCAATTTTGCCAACATAAACACCAGTTTGACACACAGAGAAAGATTCCTCTTATGTAGATAAAACCAATGAAAACGTAGAAGTATATTTTTTGCTGCCCTGAGGAATAGGATATAGTCTACTGGCACAGGCATCAATTAAGTCCTGCTCTCCACAGTCATATACCCTACATACTGAGCTGAACCTAACTACAAGGACTTGCGTTGACCAATATATCTGGTAGAGTTGATTCGTCAACCCATTCTCCGTCAGAGTGGAAGGACGCAGGCCTTTATGGATCTGAGGGATGCGGATGAAAAATAAGACTTTACATAATTTTAAGGCACATGCGGGATACCTAGTTATTAGGGTTTAGTACTCACCAAGAGATATTCAGAGCACAACTTGAAGGTTTCTTTTGATAACTGTAGTAAAAATACATGTCTTTATTGACAAATCTAAAGACAAAGCTTTGAGGAGTTACCCAGCTGAAACAAGATTAAATATCTATATCCACCATGCAAACATGGTATGGTGTCATTTTGTAATGTAAACTATGATGCATGTTAGCACTCTATGTTAGAATTCACCTTCAAATACAGTTGAGGGTGATGGGAATTCAGTCATTAGGCTTTAGAGGTGAAATTATCAATTAATCAGTCATTGAACAAAAAAACTATTGTGATAATTTTAGTCATTTTTCAAGCAGCAATGCATACAAAATATCTGGTTCCAGCTTGTCACAGCTTTCTGACAATTTGTTGTTTTCTATGTTTTACATAATTGAAAAAGAAACTGCTTGGTAGTTTTTGACCGTTTAGACGAAGCAAGATCTACACTGAGGTTCAGATTCAGTCACGTCAAAGACAATTATTTAACAATTTGTTTTCATTCTCTTGTATTGACAAAGACTGGTTCAGCATTTGAACACTTTTTTGGGGTCATAATTGTGCCATCGTTGTTAGCAGGTATTAGAGTGAAATGGATTAACACAGCAAAAAAAATAACTCTACCCCATGTGTTTTTTGAGTGCAGGCATGGTTCTGGTGCTTGTGAGCTTGTGTTGTTTTGTGGATCCAGATGGTAGCATTATACAACAGGGGGCATGTTTTTTTCCTTAAACAGAAACAGGATGGGTAGGACAAGTTCAAAAGCAAAGAAGTATGTGCAGAACTGGCAGGATACCCAATGAAAGGTGGTTATGAGTTTCCATTTGGCTGTAAGGGTGAAGGGGTAAAGCTATGGGCAGTGAAGGCAGCGGCAGGAATGCTGGGAGGGAAGATATGGGGCCGGGAGGGGATTCCCTACGCAACTGTAGGAGGTACCCAACACCTCTAACCCCTTAGTCAGAGGAGTTTGTATTTGCTCAGTTTTGGCTGAGTTTCTTCTTCAGTGCATCAGTATGTGTGCATGTGTATACGTGTACAGGTGTGTATGTGTTTGTACGTGTAAGCAAAAGAGGTGGAGCACCAGGTGTGATGCCATTATTCTGTCATTACAGCAAATGGAAACTATGTCTTTCAATGGAAAAGGGGCTTGCCCAAAGATGCATGTAATGATTTCTGGCAAGGCCACAGTGCATACCTGGGATAAGTGCCATCATTCATTGTCAGGGGGAAAAAAGAGGAGAGAGCATCTTAAAATGTCAAAACAGAAGCACGGACAGTAGAGCGCGACTACTTTGAATACCAGAACCTGCTGAGAAAAAAAAAAAAAACGTATCAAACAGTGAAAAGATAGTTCTGCAAGCCAGTTCCCACATGTAACTGTGTAAATACAAGTAGTACAATTCCTCCGGAAAACATGCCTGTTTAAAAAGACTTACCACACAAACATTATGCTGTTAGGTTTATAACTTCAACAGAATTCCATGCAAACAAGCTATCTGCTTCCGGCCTGCATTAAAAAGGTATTTTCTCCTCCAAGAGGGATTAACAGCTTTTAGGCCACAAGAACTAAGCCTAAACAAATAAAATAGGATTGATACATGGCCAGAATAGAATGGGAAAAATGTAAACATCAGTACTAATACTGTACAAGTAATTAACTGCTTGTTTATAGGGACAAAACCTGATTCCTTCAAATATCTCAGTCCATGACTGAGCTATTAAATGGGTATCAATCCGTAACTGTATGTGTGTTTGCATATATATGAGAAAGAATACATTGCAGAGCATAAATTTTTTAAGGATAGCCAGGACAGTTTATGGTCAGCTCTGTAAGCAATACTGTAGGCTCCAGATTCAGATTGTGATATTTTGTCTCACTCTGAAACCTCAGTAAAGGGGTAAAAAACCTTGAGGTTTCAAATTATTTTCAGCATCCTGGGTTGCGGACAGGAGATGGAAGCGGTCATTGCTTGCTGCCCCATTTTTAGGAACAAAGGCCTGGTGTTGAATGCGTTTTAATAATTGCTACAATACTCAATATAGTCATTCAATGTAGGTACTGATTTAAATAGCAATCCAAGTTATTCAAGCCCTGGAGCTAGACTGAAAAGCGCAAGCGCAAGTGATGAGTCAGGTTTTGTCTTTCACTTTAAAACTTTTATTTTTTTTATTTTTTTTTAGAAGTGGTCATTCCCAGTAGTGGCTAAATTAGTCATCTTTGCCATGAAGAGACTTATAAATACTAAGCCTAGTGTCCAGGCTTTGGTGAGTACTGTCTTTGTTCTGCTCCTAACTACAAAACTATACTACACTATAAGTGTACAAAGTGTGACATTTTAGTGTCAAATGCATAATAAACATCTTACAGAAAGACCTACAAATAATTTGTATTTCAGGATGCCCCTCTCTCTAAACTTTAACAGAGTGAGCAATTGTCTGCATTCATGAGGGAGACTGAGAAATAAAGCAGACTCAGTGAAGGATGGATGAATTCATTAACAAGAACACTACTGATTAGGTAAGCGATTTGAGTTACTTGTGCCATCAGCACTAGAGAGCAGAAAGCCTGACTGGTACTCTGGCAGTCAGAGCAGATCCATTTGGATGGATTAAAGATTGGACAGATCCAACAAAAATGGCACATATAAAACCATGTGTCCTGTGTATCTGCCCGTCACAGGCAGATGCCAGGATTTTGGTAGCAAGTGGTGGAATAAGATGACAGGTTTTGGGGCTTCTCTACTGAGAAACAACAAATAAATCCAGTATCCAACGCCATGGCTAGATCTACAACCTCAAGAGGGTGGAGTGGCAGAGAGGCTGATGGACAAAAGAGAGGGGAGACAAAGATTAGAGGCAGCTGTATCTTAAGATTCCTTCTTTAACTTCTGTCTTTAGCCACAGATGCTGGGCAAATGCCACAATGTTAAGTCTTGGGTCTGCATTCCCTGAAATGCTGAGTGAGTTCTTAGCTAAGCTCCTCTTTTCCAGAAAGGCAAGTCATTAACGCTATACTTCTAATGTTCAAGAACAAAACTATGTAATTCATTTTGAACAACACATGGGAAACCAATTATTTAAATTCTGTCAACCAAACATGACACATGCTAGGTTTATATTCTCTCTAGCTCATGCAACACACTCACATTTCTGCTTAATTTACAGTTTGGAATTTTACTCAGAGTCAGAGAGCAGCCTGTAGCCCAGTTATGTAGCCAATTGTGATGACAGCTTTTGCAACACTGATGAAACTGCCGCTTGCAATTCTGATATGAGGTTTACCTCGGATGGCAAGTCGGCACAGACTCTGCTCTGCATCAGCAGTGGTTAATCTGGCCATTGGCAGCCAAAGGTTGCCTGCTGGAGTCTCAAAAACATTTGCGTTAAGCTGCTGCTGATTGTTTCATTTGAACTTAGTTTCTGGAAAGTAGGAGTCGGGTGCATGTGAGTGTGCAAAGTGATGAATAGTCGTCCGCCGCCATGAAATCTGGGGTGAAATATGGCTGTCTACTTTAATCCATTTGTGCATTTGTTCATCACATGCAATATTTCATACACCACTTGGGTTTCTACATTACAGTATTTTCAAAATTGCATTAATTGGCCTAATTGAGGTTCTAAAATTACACCCCTTCTCAATTGTCCCAGTACTGCAAGCTTTAGCTATGACGTGTTGTGCAAGAGCATTTTTACTGCACCTTCACAGCAGGGGATATTTCTGCTGATCAGTGATATTCTGACTCTGCTTGGGAACAAGACCAGACCATTATGCGTTGGTGATGGCAAACACGCAGTATCCAGCTTTTAATAGTTTTGGAGTTCTGAAACACTACCAAAAGAAACTGGTAACCATTTCTGTTCTAACTTTCACCAACTATGCAACTGAAGCATGGTAACTGCACTTTAATAGCACGCCTCCCATCTCCTTTGCCTTGCTATTGCAGCTGTAATGAAATCTGGTGATGTCTGCTGAACAAACATTAGTGTAAACCAAACACTTCCTACTTTTGTTTAAGATTAAAAGCTTTCCACGCAGTGCCTGTATCTGGGATATTTTGGCTTCATTTCTGTACAGTGGAGACATCCATCTTTAAAGTCTATGGTCAATATCAGGAAAGAAAACTAGGTCTCATCTAAGAGAGAGTTGGGTTAATTGAGCCTCATTCCCAATATATGACAAACTGACATATGGTACAAATCCACCGTTATTCACATTACTAATTATCTCAAGTTATTATAGAAATATGTTCAATTATTATCCACAGTAACTGCCACTGCAAAGTGTTGTCCAGTCCACTCAAGTCCATTCACTCAGTGAGGAAAATGCCCTGCCATGCCAAGCTGAGGCTGTAGAAAACATAATTCCACCCTAACAACTACTCCCAATGTTCTGCCAAATGCCAGCTACTATATACTTACCCTCCAAGGGCTGAACTTAGAGGTAGCCTGTAATACTTCATCAATTTCTGTACTGTTTGTTCCTTGTTTTTGGAATTAGTCACCGGCAAAAGGTGAAAAGAAAGTAGTTGCACGGCCATTATTTTGCCTACAAACATTTAATCAAGGAGACACATGCTCACAAACTCACACTCATACGTTCACACTTACATACACACACGCACACCATTGCCAGGCATGAAAGCCCTCTAGTCAGCTGTCTGCCAGTAATGATCCTTCTCTGGCAGCGTGAGTGCGTAGCATGAATATGTCGCTAACCAGCTGCAGTCACACTGCTCACACATCTGCTTTTTATATTATGTACTTGGTACATTCTGAAGCACATTCTCTCTTATTCCCTTGCAATTTATTGTATACCTTTCATCCCATCCCTTGTGTCCATTTACTGGTCTGTGAATGGGACGCCGTTGCGGTTAGTTGAAAAATCTGAGACACAGTGAACCTAACCAGACAAAACAAAGAAATAAGGCTGTGCAGCTGGCCAAAGATTCCAAACGGCAGCAGCATAAAGCATAAAGATTCTTCGTATGTCTTTTGCTGGAGCAGTTGTGGGACATTTACCAGGTGTGAACCTTTATAAAATAACAAACATTTGGCAGACATTCTGGTCTTAGCTTACAAAAACTTTCTGTCACCATCTCAAGTGTTGAGTTGGGATTAGGGAGTTTGGGGTGGGAGGGTGGGCAGTGTGTGCTACTACAACCTGACATGATGTTGCCTCATCCTGAGATTTGACGTGCACATTTAATTTACCGCCTGCAAAACACCAGAGACAGACATGACAGAGTGGTAGACTTTAAGGATGGAAAAGAGGGTGGTGAAAGGGAAAGTAACAACATAAAACCAGCTGGAGGGACTGACAAAGGATTCATTTAGTGGCAATCCTGATTGGCACCCAATGTTGTCCCTGGGCATTTCAGGCTCATAAAACTTTAATATGCAGTTCAATAACCATTTTTCCCTCTTTCCCTCCTCTATTCTTCCACAGAGGGATTAGAGTGGCAGGCTCAGCCTCAAAAGAATGGGAAAATGAGCAGCAGAAGGTAGGTTGTCCAAGGAGGGATAAAAGATGCCAAACATGACAAGACCACCAGTGGAACTGAGCAAATTGGAAAAGTGCCCATGCAAAGAATTACTTACTACTTTGGGGTCTACGGGAAGTAATAAGGCTCACTCTCTAAATTACTGCAAGGCTGCAAAGTTGACTACACTGAAATCATTCCTCCTAAATCAATATAACCAATGGGGAAACACTAAATAGCAACACCATATTGATGGTGATGTGGGTGTATGATAAATTAATCAGTGAAATACCATTTAACCTTTTAGCTGTTCATTCATTGGCCACAAGGAGTCAAAGTCTGACAAGGTAATGCTTATTTGAAGATCTTACATTTTGTGAACGTAATTACTGACTGCAATAAAAACACCAGGGCTATCCAGCTACAACACTGGGTAAAATATTACCATTTATGAAAATATCAAACATTTTAATAATGATGGAACTAACTCCCAACAAATTACAAATGTGGTCAACATGTCTTCAAAAAGTCTTCTCATGAATGACTAGATTGCATAATATATTATTACAGCCTGTGAAACACACTTAGCCTAGGGTTTAATACATTTTTATTCATGTAGTCCTGCAGCAGTTTACCGATCATTCCGTTTAATTGTTGTCATAATGGAGGAGAAGCACAGCAGTTGCCCAATAATGGTTTATCTGCAGCATGGAAAGCATGGTGTCCTTTTTCTAGTAACCTGTATAGGATTTAACACTTACAGCAAAACTGTCAAGCAACAACTAAAAGTACGTCACCATAGCTGAATCTCCGTTGAGAAAATGGTAAACATAATGTAAAATATTGATCACACATTTAACAGAAACTGCTTTTCATCATTACGAGTACCATAAGATAACCTAAAGAGAGCCAGGACTAGATGGAACCGCTGTTAGGGCTTAGCAAGAGTGCCATCCTGTGGTAAAGTAAAACATCACTAATCAGAATCTCATTTTGCTCCAGACTAAGCAGGACTTAACTTCACCAGAAAACCGTGAAGTGTTGTCTTTTGTCTCTGACTGAGCGTATCACAGTCTCAAAATGTTTGGGTAAGACTTTAAGCAGTGCTGCTGTGATAGAAATCCAAACACCCATAGTGTTGCAATACAATGTTTGTGTTCTTCTCTATGATAATGTAGCATGTTTCAAGGATATTTAAGAAATGAATAATTATTTACATATTTCAGATATGGTCTAAAGATGGTACAGAGTAAAAATAATGCTTGTGTAGTGTTCTTTAAATTAATAAAGATACTGATGGTACTTTTAATTGTACAACTCACTGCTTCATAGCATAGAGTCACAAAAATTACCTCTGCAGTCCTGGACAAATTTAAATGATTTGTTGCTCTTGTATTCTATGAAACACTAATTTTGTCAAACTACAGCTATGGACAAGACAAATAATACTATTCTGTTTAATGTAAAAATATTTTTTTTGTGGGTTATTTCATTCTTACTTTGCAAGGAAGAACGTGGAGTTTTCTCTGCTCTTAGTGAAGGTGACGGGGAGGAACCTCAATGTGATATTCATCTTTCTGGCATTTGCTGCCAGCCTCTTTGCCTGGAAAACAGAAAAGTGGACAGTACAGTACAGTATAGAGCTGAAAGCTGTTGAAAATCAATTGGCAACAATTTTAATACTACATTTTTAAGCAAAAATGCCCCAAATAATTCAGTTTAAAAATGTGAATATTTTCTTGTTTCTTAGTCTTTAATGATAATAAACTGAATATCTTTAGGTTTTGGAACATATGGTTAATTGATAATAAATCAGAATTGATAAAATAATCACTAGTTGCAGCACTTAACAGTATGCACAACATTAACACAGTATATTTCTGTATATGGTAGTGTCAAAGAAAAGAGGTATAGCGCAGTTAAGTATTTTTATATATATAAGGCCCAAAAACACATCAATATTCATAAAACCAAACAGAACAACAATCCAACAGTTATCAGACCTTTAATAAAGACTCACAGCAGCATAGATCAGACATAACAACTTTTTAGTGAAACAGGATGTAACAGAAAGCTTCTATTCTTAGACTTGAACAGATTTGTTGGGACCACAGGCCGGCATTTCAGTTCACTGGAAAAATCTGTGTGTGTGTGTGTGTGTGTGTGTGTGTGTGTGTGTGTGTGTGGTGGGGGGGCTCATCTTCTCTAAGAACAAAAAGGTCTAAATACCAAACATCTGTTGTGCATCAATGAATCCGGCTGTGCAAGTTTCATTGGCAATTAAACTAAAGATTACCTGAACTTAAGTATAAGTGAATCCTTTCTGGCACCCATGTAAGGCCTTAATGAATTCAAAGTAGTGAGATATAGTGAAATAAATTTATTAAAAGGTGGGGCTGTACAAGGCCACTAAAAGATTACTCTACTACCAATGTTCTTGTGGAAACCCAAATCCCAAAGCTTATGTGCCAAGCCTTTATCTCTAGCTGAGAATAAGCCTCGTTATTTTGACTGATTTGTTGACCTCTAAAAATCTCCCAAAAGCATTACACCAAGCTATCAAATATCACTTACATTGTCTTTTAGTCTGTAACAGTACAGGTGAGCCCTGGCAGGGACACTGAATATTACATAAATGAATGCCTGTGGTTTGGAGAAGCAGCAGTAAGCATTACATAACTACAACCACAAATTATACAAGTAAAGCAATAAAAAGCATTTAGATGTTTGGTGGGTTTTTTTTGCTATAAATGCAGCTGATATCCAACCTGATGTATCTGCTCTTCTTACAATGAAGTTGTTTCTGAAAAGGTGCCTACTAAAGACAATCACAAAAAAAGTGAAAGATAAAGTGTAAAAATTAAAGCCATTTATTAAATGTATACAAATACTTTTTAATGTAACAAAGCTCTAACCAGTCCTAATAAAAACCTGGGCTTAATCATACCCTTCAAGATGACTATCGCCTGAAACTAGCTTCTGGTTCTAAGATTCTCAAAAAAATTGCTTCAAAGCAGTGTAAGCAGTGCTGTGTAAAAGTACCTATGAAAAGTTTCAATCTGGTTTTCGTCAGTACCATCACACCAAGACAGCCCTTCCTAGAGTCACTAATGACTATTAATAAATGCTGATGCAGGCGTGTGTTAAATTCTTGTGCTGCTGGACAGACTGAGGCACCATATGTGGCATCATATTCAAATAGGAAGTAATTACATACATAAATTTAGACATGCGAGACAGTTGTACATGCTTTTATCGCATAGAGCCTTGATTATTGCAACAGCCTCTTCTCTTTTCTTGGAGAAGCTCCTAGGTCCCTGTTTGTTTTAGGATTGAAGATCTTTATGTGTATTTTTTTATCATTTATCGTGGTATCTTACTTCATCTTTCTTACTGTGAAGCACTTTTTTAATAAATGCTCTATGAATAAAGTTTATTTCTGGTAGTGAACGAGGACTTTCAGTCCTACAATACTGACCACCCTCACTGTTTTCTAAAGTATTCCTCTGAGTTATCCCTAATACGCTGCTGCCTGAATTCATGTTCACATAAGTTCAACTTATTTCAACATAAAGAGTTCACTCTACGTCAGTGTTACTCACCGAAACGTATGTGTCGGGGGCATTTCGATACTCATAAAACACGATGCTGATTTTTAAGTATTCAAATCCTGCATGGTTTACATTCATGTTTACTAGCAACTAGTAAGTTCTTCTTCCCCGTCATTGCTAATGTCTTATAACCTTCAGTGGGATAATGTGACACCCTTGGAAGGAATGTGTATCTCGTAACGAGCATGCATGTGCATTATCATTCGTGTGGCAAACAAAACGGGCCTGGCACCCACTCATGGAAAAACAGCTCTATAGCACTACTAGAGGTCTAAAACACCACAGGGAACATTTAAATTCCAGTATCCAACATTAGGCATGGAAGGTAAATCAAGAACGTACTTTAAAAGTGGCACGAGGAGTCCGGATGAGTTTGTCTCTGGTGGCACCATCAGCAAATCGTCCTGTATCCTCCAGAAACCTGTAGTCTACAGCACAGGTAAAAGAAAAATAGTAAACACACTTTAAAGTAAAAGAATAGCATTTTTTAGTACCACCTCATTAATAAAATACCCCGATATTAATGGTATCAGCGGTATCATATATCATCTATTTTGTATGAATAAAGAAACACATATGCCGACAACCATAATGACTATGAACACTTGATGGTTAGCTTGAAGTTCTACTTTACAGTTTACTGCTAACACTATTAAGTTTTTTAGTCATGGGAAGAAGTAGAGGAAATGCTCACCATTGAGAAGCGCTATTTCATCAAACTGTGAGAGGGTCACAAATGCAGTTTTATTTCTAACTCCACTGCATCCCAAATCTTCCTTGTGTTTCTTCACACACAGCAAGCTAGGAAAATATACACAAACAAAAGACAAAAGAATCTGGTTTGGCCGACTTTCCACGAGGGCTACAACTAATGATTATTTTCAGTGTCGATTAATCTGTTGATTATTTCTTCAACTGATTGACTTGCTTTTTGGTCTATAAAATGCCAGAATATGGTGAAACATTTCGATCATTGTTTCTCAAAGCCCAAGATGACGTCCTCAAATGTCTTGTTTAGTCTACAACCCAAAGATATTCAGTTTACTGGAGTAAATACATATTCATATTTAAAAAGGTTCAGTGTGTAATATTTAGGAGGATTTATTGGAAGAAATGCAATATAATATGCATGTACACCATTATGTACATACTACCTTAGAATGAGCCATTTCTATCTACATACACTTGGGGTCCCCCTTACATGGAAGTCGCCATGTTGCGCTGCCATGTTTCTACAGTAGCCCAGTAGTAGCAGTAGCTCTGCAGAGCGCGTTTCGTCACTAAAAACTGGACAAAGAGAGAAAATGTAACAAATGTAATCTATGGACTGCTGGTCTGCTGAACTGAGACTGACAAATATGATGCAATTATAGCACACCCCTGACTAATACAAACAATGACTAGCTGTCTGCCTGACTCATATTGTTTTTGGACACCCATCAACTACTTGTGCAGACATAAAAAAAGACATTATCTGTACTCCACTTCCCTCCCAATAACAAGTTAAACTCTTCTTCCTTTGCAACATTTTAACTTGAAGCAATTGTAAAACTGTGAAAGAAGAAACGAATAACAAATTCAATGACAGAGATGACAGGTACTGTTACAATAATTAGATATATTAGTATATAGTAATATTAGTAAAATAACAAGAAATCTGGCTTCATGAAGATCTTACCAAAAAATAAATAAATAAAACATAATAAAACATGGTTGATAGATTATTTGCATGATTTAATCCATGGATGGAAAGAGCCATTTTCAGACACTTGCTGAGAGAAAGGTATTTGGTCAGGGTCACACAAAGACTGTATCCCTAGAAACTATGTAAAAGGAATGCTGAATGAGGCCAACAACAACAGGTAACCATGACAGTTCCCCCTGGTGCCCTTTGATAAATCGTAATGAAATTTTCAGGTATGACCTTCAAAATGCCATTTAGTACTTGAAGGTTAAGTTGTAAATGCTTCAGCATCAGCAGAATTTAAGGAACAGGTTATGGACCATCGCCGGTGCCTTGTTGTTGCTGGCCATGAATCAAAGTAAAGTTCAGTCAGTAAAAACAAAAACCTAGCCAAGAGTAAATCATAAATATTACATTACTGCACGCAAAGGTAGAACTGATTTTATTAACATCATTCTTTAGTGATTCATTGTTTATTTTTTTTAATCAGAAAGAGCAGATCAATTTCTTTGGTTTTTACTAGTGACATAAGACACAGATGGAATAACTCTTTTATGATGTATGAAATAGTATGATCTCATCATAGAGATACAGCAGAATACCAAGGTTAAATCAACCCACTAAAGGAATTCATCTTATGCATATGATCTCACAACAATCTCAACACTATAAACAAGTATTTATCTAACATCATAAAAAGGGATAATGATTCAAGGACTATCTGACTGCAATTGTGCTCACAACCAATAAATTATCCAAGGTCCTGGACAAAATAAACTAGAGCTATTTTTTAGTGTGAATATGCCCCTAAATGTGATTCCTGTGTTTTCTTTGATTAAATTGCCAAAACCTGCCAACCCTGTATCCAATCAAGAGTTTGAGCAAACCTCACTCTTTCTGCATTCTTTACTGCCCCTATCCAGTGCATACTGTCCAACACATACACAAATACAATCTTTGGAAGGACTACACAGGCCACATCTTTTTCCTGTGCCCATTCCATCCTCATCTTACCTCACGTTACATAACTTCAGACTCAATTCAGAGACTGTTTGTAAGCACCTGGGGAAGATCATTTCTGCCAAATAGAAGCCTTGGGCTGGCCAAAAACTCTTTACTCCATGTAATACAAGTTTTACAACAACCTGGCGTATCTTCTATTGGTGTACTCTTACTAAACTGTACTTTTTGCTAACCGAAAGAATCAAAAGTCACAGCACACAGGCTCTTGTAGCATCTGGCATTGCTAATATTTTATGTTAGGGTTTCAAATACATTATATAAAGAATATGGGTAGCTCTATGGCTGCAATGTAGCCTCCATCTACATATTAAAATGGTTAGTTCCGTTTAATTCCTTCATCATCTAAATATGATGAAAAGATTACTTTAGGGAATTCAAACATTTATCTATAAAAATATACACTAGCAGCAGATCACTACTTATGAAGGCATGATCAAGTCAAAGAACCCAGTATTTCACAAGAAAAACAGAGTAAGAACAAAAATAACATAATTTTGTCTTTATCCCTTTAATTAAATTGTGACCCCACAGACACAAATGTATTTAAAGGAACACTTGAGATTTGACGGTGAAATAACTGCATTACTTTTACTGTAATAATCTCACCTGCAAGAATGGGCAAGACAGGCAGGGCATCTATACTTTGCTTCTTCTGATCCACACACACCACAACTGCAGGACAGACGACATGTCAGCATGGTGCATGTAAATTTTGGGCAGTTTTAAAGTTAAACTGACACAAACTGTGACAGGACGTATAACAGGAGCAAAAAGTGCAATAAACAACCTAACGTGACTTGACTGAAATAAAACATTAAAACGTCCAAGCACAGACATTCAGCAGTTATAACAATCAGGTACTCTATTAACACATAGGGTGACACAGTTTAGCCGACAGAACTCATAGATAGAAGAGATAAAAGGATGAAGCAGAGAAAAGATAAAGACTGGCAGTAAATACAGTGTGGGAGTTTGGTGCAGGTAGCTAACTAATGGTGTGCTAACTATGTTACGCTAGCTAGCGTTAACATTACGTTACGTTACCTAAGCTAACGATAGCACATAACGATAGCTGATGTTTTATATTTGCTAATGGCTATATCGGCCACTCGTCATATCTTTATAACTTCTACAACAGTCCAAACTAGGCTCGAGAAACATTAAAACAAACATTAATCTGTTAGCTAAGTTAGCAATAACTTCACTTTCTGTTAAAACACTTACTTGGAGAGAGAAATCTTTCTTTTGGTGCCTTTCAGCTTGTCTTCCGGATCGCTGTTTCCCACTTGGCTCTCCACAGTTGACATTATGTCTGTTGTTGGTATAATTAAAGAGCACATTACAGGAGAATTCAAGCCACACGTTGAACTCAACCTCCCTATATCAAAACAAACCCTCTTCCGCCGGTGGCCAATCTCAGCACGTGGAGTTAAGTTCCGGTTGGAAACCTGCTCATTGGCGCTTCCCGGTGTTTGTGGATGAGAACTACAACGCCGCCCAGTAATGTCAAAATAAACACTGACAGCACAAATAGGGCAGATATTCACACCATATTAATTCATCACATTCACAGGGCTTGAAAAATAAACGCAGACCATAGAAAATGCAGAGCTTTTGTTTTGATCACGGTGAATAAATTGTCTGGTAGGACAGCAACTACAAATTCTCATTCAGTGCCCAGCTGAAGATTGTTTTTATGACCCTGGTGTAGCTGTAAGTGTAGACAGTCTATGATCTATACAAGACTAGCAGTGTTTATTTGCTAGTCTTGTTCCTCATCTCTTTTTATGTATGCTCATATAAGATGAGTTTATTGTAATGGGGGTGTGTGGTGGGAGTAATACAGTGGCAGATTGACATCATACTTCTTTAAGACATGCAGCATGCTTTTGTGTGTGAGAGAGAGAGAGAGAAAGAGAGAGAGCATGTGCACACACCATGTTTGATGGCACTCTGATAATATGACACCATTTAAATATGAAACCGGAGCTAGAGGGATTGGCACAATTGTAGCATCCAGCCATGTATATAATACCCACATTTCACATAATATGGTTGACCTTGCTAGGTTAATTTTGCAGAGTACCAAAGTAAAATGACATTCTTCCTTGATTTGGACAATGTGACCAAAATTTTCCAAAATGCTCTTCTGGAATCTATTCTTCAATTTTACTTTTATACGAATCCAGACTTCGCTCTCTCTCTTTCTTTTAAAACTTTTATTTGTATCATAAACGCAACACTTTTTTGTGATCATGCTCACAAACATTCGCTTGGAAGCTGCCCAAGACAACTACAGTCTTATCTGTTGGCTACTGAGCAGCTCCACTGGAACAGTTAGGTTTAGGTTCCATGCTCGAGAGCACCTCAGAGGTTTTAATGTGGGAGGGACTTTTCCCTCTAAGATTTATTGTGATGGGGTCTGGGTATCAAACTGCTTCTCTAACCTTTAAGCCACCACTAATCTAAAATAGAATTGTGTATTATGTAGTCATGATACAAATTCAGCCTAATTCTGTTAGTATTGTCATACAAGACTCATTTGGTCGCAACATACAGGACTTTAACTGTTTCAAAAAAAAAAATACACAACCATTTGTGGATAAAATGTTCCATTTATTTGTTTGTCAACTTATTTATTATTTACACATTTGCATAACTTAAGATTAATGATGACTGTGTTGTCTGTGTATTCTGACTCTGGCCTTCTATAGCTGCCAGTCCACCTAACCACCACTGAATGAACTGAAATAAGAGTATGATAAACATACAGTCACAGGTGTGAACACACACACACACACACACCTTTTAAACATAAATACTTCTTCAGACTGAGTTGTGATTGACCAAATAGTTCTCTGAGAGTATAACTTACTGTGGTACAGTAATGTGAACAAAAAACAAAAAGGATATAAATAAACAAACAGTATGCTGTCAATATATACACAGGAAATGTAAAAACTCACTGATGACTCATTCTTTGTTGCAGCACCAATGATAGGTTTCCCCTGAAGAGCCTACCACATAGAAGGAAAAGCTACAAAAAATATGTAGTGTATCAAAAAATGGTTCATAAATTAGAAATGACCAAATCAAAATAAGTACTTATACAACATAACAAATCTTGATGTAACCGGTACATACAACACACAGGCAAAAAAAGAGACTAACTTTAGCACATTAACATTGCTAAGAACATTAGCAACTATTCGAGAAAGCAAATGAGCAGGTAGAGGTAGAGCACCATCTGTCAAGATGTACAGGTCCAACTGGGCAGGACCAAAGACAAAAATATCATGAAAACAATGTAAATTATAGCCTTTGAAAGAAAATGAAATATTTAAAGCAGTCACACATTATCCACATGCTATTGCACTCATAAAAACCTTTAGTTAGACAGTGCTCCTATGTAAGGGCCTGAAACGCTCCTTCGGGTTAGGCCTTGCCTCTGGGAGTGTTTGGGGGTGATGGGTGAAAAAGAGGTGTGAGTTTTGGGAGTTTGGATAGGCTGCTGCTTAGTGAGGCCCTACCCTGCAATCAGGGAGTAATTTCTGTCCATATACAGCCAACCTAAGCACCGTTTGACTAACAATTATTGACACAACATACTTTAAACAATTATTGATAAATATCGGTATACACTGTTCTCCTTTGGCCATCTTGGCCTGTATGTTCCACAGAGATTGAGTTCTTCCATGTAGATCTGACATTGGGCAGTTGTTGCTCTGACGGATCCCATTAACAGTTTCCAAGGAACATGACAAACTCTGATGGACACATGCTCTTTGGTAGGCAGCCATTTTTTTGTAGAAGCCTTGCATTTTAGTAGTTCGTGTAAATAGGTTACAGGACGGGGATATTGGTGTCAGAAAAAGCAGACTGGACCGATTTCTATATGCCGCTGACTATTGGGCTGTGATGTGGGGAATTCCTGTATGTCTACAATAGGTAGCTGACGACTGTCCTGAGTATGGAAGAAGAAATGTGACTGGTGCCAGCTACCATCTTGGATCTGAAAGAAGAACGGTGGAGGAGAGAAAAAAAGAAAGAAACATTATTCAAGTGAGTCACCAAATACAGTTACAGAATATGTTTGAAAATGTATTTCAAATTATAAATAAAAATAAGTCTAATAAATAAACTTAATATAACTAGTTTCTTAAGCATAAAAAGAGATCTATGGTGGAATTTTCTGCTGTGAAATAGTCTCCATTCTATGCTGTATCCTTCATTTAATTAATTCAAAGTTTAAAGACCAAGACAACGGATCAAAAACCACATCAAGTTTTTAAATCTGTTTCATCCTACTTCATGTAGACCTGAGCGAAAAGAATTTACGGAATCAGTCCTCTGTCCTGCTCATCACCTTGCACTCATCTTGTAGCACATGTGGTTCAAGTACTGTGTCTTTTTCAAACATCTGTTTATTCCAGCCACGAAATCGAAATGTGGTGTTCTCTTGCACTATGGATCCAGTGGAGCTGAAGTTGTCTGTGGTTCCGTAGGGAGGATCATTTAGGCAGTGGACTGTTATGCTGTGGCTGGCCTCAGTACTCATTAAATGTAGAAACTTCATTTGGACTCTCCCTTCACCAAACACCATCTGTGGTGGAGAAAAACAGAAGTGTCATCAGTCTGCCATCATTATCACAATAAACTTGCAATGTTTTAAAAACTGTAATACAACTTCCTACAGTGTCTCGTTTATTAAAGTAAAGGGCAATAAAGAGTTTTATTGCAGTTTCTAGTTACATAAATTGAAGCATTGAGGGTGTAATTATGTAAAAGTTTGAAATATCAGCCGATAACTGCACTCATGAGGCTGATATATCCTCCTAAATGAGATCTAATCTAATACCATTACTGGCTAGCTCCAAACATATGTTGTTATACTGTAGAGAATAATACAGTTGAATGACGTCACTTCTGACAAGGTGACACCCACTCTCCCATAACACACCAGTCACGTTCTGAAATCTACAGCATAACCCAATGTATTTTTTTATTTCATTCATTAATAACAATTCCATCTAAAACAAGACGTTACTGGCAAAGATAACCATCAATATTAGATTGTACTCTGCATGGAATAATGGAATTATACATGACTTTTAGTTCTAATATAGGCATTATTTATCTGCCGACTTGCTCTCTAAATATCGGCATCGACCATTAGTTGAAAGGTTCACAGAATCAACTGATGTGGATAGAGGCGGGAATCACAGAGCACATACTGTATCTGTCCCCACCATCCAAAACATAGGACAATAATGACTATGTCTAGTTATTTAGGCTTCAATAACATAAGGGTTCAAACAGCATTTTATCTGGCACCATCAACGATATGTTTACCACTTCACTGTTACCTTATTTGAGGCCACTGGATATAAACAGGTCTGTCCTCCTGCAGTAAAGTTACAGAAGACCTTGAAGGCATCTGAGGTACAGCCCAAGTTTGGATCAATCCAGAACCAACCTGAAAGTCCCCAAATAGAAAGAGAAAACAGGGATTTTATAAAAGGAATGCAATATATGCAATATATTTGCAATATATATGCAATATATATCTACAAATGCTGTAAGTCTTGTAAGAGAAAATATCATATGAATAAATGATGAACCTCTCACCATCATTAAGCTTGTGATGACAGTCAAGCAGATCTTTACAGACACGAGCCGGATTCTCCCGTGTGCCCAGAGGCTTTCTGATGCTCTCAATTATGCTGCTTAGGTAATGTAGAGTCTTAAGTATCTCAGTATTCTGGTCTGGCAGGCTCATCTCCGTGTTTTGGAAACTCTGGTTAAGAATGTGAAAGACACAACTGTTAAACTCCAACATTAAGTGCCTCCATTAAAGTTACAATACCAACAGCAATTGCTAAACAGAATTTGCAAAGAACTTTGCAATAGATGTTTAAACAAATCTGCCTATTTATCTGCCATCCATCCAGCATTCCCTGTCCACTGAGTGAGTGTATTAGTGCCTTACCTCCGTCCTGAGCGCAGCATTAGAGTCAGATAGACCGTAGACTGCTAAGTCATCATATATATGCCTCTGTGGATTCAAAATCAACACATTCAGTTTAATGAAAACATAACACATTCAGTGCCCTGTTCATTACTGAAATATTTTATTCCATAGGCTTATTAACAATGTGCCAGTTTTGATACACGCCCAGTTTATAGTGAAAACTTTAACAGAATAATACCAGAGAAAATCTGTAAAATAAGTCTTGCATCAATAAACCTTCACATTCCTGACTTCAGTAGGGGGAAGAATAACACATTCCACGCAAGCATAAACACTACAGTTATCACTTAATGTGTGTAAACAAAAAAGGCATCTATACAGTGTTTTTTCTGGGTTCTTAGAATCGTTCAAACAGGAAAAGGTCATTCAGC